TAATTACTTATATAAATTAACCAATAAAGATATGAGCAAGACCTCACCTTAATACCAAAAAAAAAAAAAAAAATTAATTTAAATTAAAACTCTTAAAATTAACTAATAAGTACTAAAGATAAATTTTTCTAGACTATTTTTTATATTGCAAATATAGTTATTTTAACTAGATTTTGAACTGGTTTTGACTAATCTCAAAAAGCCCAGTCTTGACTCAAACTAAATTTGATAACTATAGACTGCTAAAATTTACAAATTAAGTTAAAACTTGTATAATATAAAATTTAAAAACCAAAATATAGGATAATATAATATATTATATTATGAAGCTTAACTGCAAAATTTTATATTTCTTCTCTATTTTATATATTATCTTATTGGATTTAGGATTTTGCTAACACACATTACTTAATTTGCTATAGTAACTATATACTATATAATATTATATAAAGTGGCTACACAACATAATTATACTAGTAACCAGAAATAAAGCAATTTTAATTGTCATAGCTTATAAAACTTTGTATAACAATTAAGATAATAAAATTAAAAGAACAAAAAATAACTAAATAGAAAATGCTATTTGGTCTAAAAATGTAATTATTAATTTTAATCAAGTATATAATAATCTAATATAATATAAGTAAACACATCAAGTTATCTTTTCTTTAATATTTTTTTGTTAATATGTAGCAGAACATTTCTAATAAAGTTAATGATTCAGATACTAATACTTATTACATAAACATAGACCCCCTAGAAAATGTCAATTACAAAATTTAAAATAATTAATATAAACTTTGGCCCCTTGCATATTTTTATATATTTTTTGTATATTTTTATACACCTTGTATATTTTTATACACTCTTGTATAATTATGCATACTTGTGCATAATTATGCAGTTGTGTATAAAAATATGCAAGAAGTGCATAAAAATATACAAAGGATACATAAAAATATGCAAGGGCCAAGATCTATATTAATTATTTTAAATTTTGTAATTGTCAAATAACTGACTCTGGGTACTCAGACAAGTCAATTGACGTTTTTAAAAGAGTCTATATTTACATAATAAGTGTTAGTACCCTAGCATTAAACATCTTATTTATTGATTGCAATCTTACTCGTAATCTGCACATTTCCTTTGACTAAAACAGAAAGGATTTATATATAAAATTTTTATATGATAATAATATCTATCCTATATGTGCTATTTAATCATTCTGAGTATGCCCCAAAGCTTTTTTTATTGTATTTAGGTTGTATTTATAAGATTAATAAGTTAAATTAACTTTTGATTCTATCAGATAGACCTCTGTTTACCTATTGTACATATATACGGTTGTAGAATCTCTTCAAATAAAACTTTTCCTTGTACTTCATCAATTATTCTGTGCTTTATAGATTTCTATTTTTCTAATTTGTAAATTGTAGATATAGCAAAATTGAAATAAAATATACATGGATAATATTATACATGATTTAGCAGAAAAGCATTATTATTATTATTAGAGTTAATACTTTATTATGTTTTTATATGCGGATTTATTTTATATCCAAATATAATTACTATAAATTTTTGACAAAATTTAATCCAGATATATTTATATCCAGATTGAAGTACTAACTCTAATTATTATTTTGTTTTTTTTAATAAGATATAGCTTAAAGTAGATTATATAAAAGCTTCTTTTGTTCAAAAAAAAATTTTAAACTAAACAATACATTTAAACATATTCAGCAAGTATGAAAATTGTTATTGTTGGTTTCTATTTAGTTGAATTTTGATTAATTTATGCATCGCAGCTACGAGCTGACCACAATATGAGATTCTTGCATTGCTATCATAGTTGTGGTGCTTAATCACCAAAAATAAGATTTTTGTGCTTCCTGCGGCAGACATAGAGCCTAATCACAACATGAGTTCCTTGCTACAGCCAAGAAACCTAATTACAATATAAGGTCCTTTTACTTCTATCATAGTTCAGAGTTTAATTACCAAACATGAGGTTTTGACACTGCCTGCAGCAGCCATAAAGTTTATCCATAATATGAGGTCTTGCATTGCTATTGCATCCATGGAGCCTAATCACAACGTGAGATCCTTGTACTGCTATCATAGTTACGGTGCTTAATCACCAAACATGAGGCTCTTGTACTGCCTGTGACTGCCACAGAGCCTAATCACAACATGGGTTCTTGCATTGCTGTAGCAGCCACAGAGCCTAATCACATCATAAAGTCCTTGTACTGTTTTTGTAGTTGTGGAGCTTAATCACCAAACATGAAATTCTTCACTACCTGTGGCAGCCATAGAGCTTAATCACAACACAAGGTCCTTACATTGTTACTGCAGCCATGGAGCCTAATCAACAACATAAGATTCTTGTGCTATTATTCCTTATAAAAAATGTCAAAATTATATTTAGATTTTTTCAGATTATTGTTTTAAAAAATGTGCATTTTTGTAATAAAAATCCAAGCTGAATCTGAAAAAATTTTGAATTTTTTTTATGGGAGGGCTCAATCACCAAACATGTAGTTCTTGCATTGCTTTGAGGTCCTTGCATTGCTATCGCAGTCATGAAACTTAATCTTAACATGAGGTCCTTGTACCGTATAATACAATATCAGATATAGTACACTTATCTCTAACTCCCTTTAATTAACTCAAACACCTAGTTGGATGAATATAAACGAAAAGCTCTGTACACACATGACAAATTTTATTTGGGTGCCTCTGACTAATAGTGCTAGGTGAATCTACTAAGATTCCATTTTAACATACAACGCCTTTACCTTTAGTGATTATATAAAAAATTTTTCGCTCAAATCTTTGGCGATCATTGATTATCATTTCATCAGCCCAATAAAAAATCCTATGAAAAAAAGCCAAATATAAGGTAAGCAGACAAATTAAATTACATCAGGTTACCAATTTTTGTGTCAGAAATTCTTGCTTTTACTATCGTTAGTTATTGCAACTGCGATATTTGCACATATTTGCGATCTTGGCTTCTATAATCCTGTAATAAGTACATGTGTACTTCATACTACGTATTACAAGAGATTTAAGGCGTGATCAATTCATATGTGAAGAATAATTGCGTGATGAATTCATGCGTGAAAGAGAAACAAAATTTGATGAATAAGTCATGCGAACCAATCAAACTTATTTTGCGGACGGATATCGCTTCAAACATCATATTAACCGTACTGTATACTCATATGCATTCGTTCCTGGTATATCATTCCTTTCCTGGTATACATTATTTATAATTAATACTTATATGTTTAAATTTTCTATTTACTTAACGTTAAATAAATATATCGATATATTTTAAATACTTAATAGATAAGGAAAACGGATAAGCACAGGCTATCCGAATAAATTAAATGAATATCCGGATTTATTAAATGAAACGTGATACGGAAAGCAAAGTATCCACTTATTCAGACCAAAGCACTGCTACTAGTTTAAAGCTGACATAGTATATAAAATGTAATAGGGAATGTTCGAATTACCAACTAATAATAAACAAAAAAAAATAAAGACAAAAATCAAGGTATTATCAATATCTGTTTAAGCTAATGCCCATTAGTTATTTTAAATTGCTAGATAATTATAAACTAATCGTAAAGCCATGGTTTAATAGTTTTAACAATACCATGACTACTCTACATATTATATTGAAAAATGATACATACCGTTTTAACGGAATAATGATAAATATTTTGAATTTTTTTGCAACTTAAATTTCGATTCTGTAATGATACTAATTAATAAGGCCATTCTCCTTATGAATCTCTTTTTTCACATCATAATTATCTTCCCATTCTTTCTTAAAAACCCAATTCCTTATTGATCCGTGCGATAAGAAGGAAGTATCACCACTTAGTTCAATTACCCAGTTTCCTCCATTTCTTATGCATTTTGTCAAAGAACACGTAGCACAATTTATCATTGCATATCTTTGTTTAATTAAAGCTCTTACTCCAGCGACTGTCGATGTTGCGTGTGAAATGATTAAAATGCTTCTAATATCCTCTTTAACTTCAGTAAAACCTTGTATAGTTCTGCTTAATCTCTCATGAAGTTCTTCTGATGTTTCATTGATATCAGGTAGCTTTGATATAGGAATATATGTAGGATTGATACGTGGAAAAAATTCACGTAAAAGAGGAAGGGGAGCGCAGCCAGCATTAAGTTTATTTATCCTAGGACTACACCATTCACTATTATTCAATAATGATTGATTAGTTCTTTAAAAATAATTTTTTTAAAAAATTATTAATATCAATAACAGAAAAAACCTTAAGCCATTTTCTAGAAAAATATTAAATTTAAGTTTTCCGCAATTATATTTGCAGTCTCCACTGAACGATAAAGAGGACTAGAATAGATGCGATCAATCTTTATATTATTTGTCACAAAATATTGACAAAGCTCTCGAGCCTGATTGCATCCAAGCTCAGTTAATTTTGGGTCCCAATGTAATTTTGTTGGATATGTAAATTCATCATCTTTGTTATCCCAATCCATCTTATATCCATGCTTAATAAGAAATAACATTAGTATTAATTATATGCTACTTAATTATTCTTAATAGAATTATTTATTATTCTTACCCGTGCAAAATAGATCGTTTCCAACATTTTAACTATAAGGAATTTTAAGAGACAAAGAGATATTCACGATTGTCTAGAGACGCTTAAATATACAAAAATAATGACTATGTTTTATATTAGTGTAATGCTTGGCATGTTGTACATTTTTTTGACCTTTTGGACTTTCCATTCAGGAACATCCCAACTTTGTCCCATTAATTTCTCAATTTTTAATTAAACCAGTTATATCAAACAATAATGAGGTCTATGTAAAAATTAAATTTTAACCTTTTTTATTTAAGAGTTAAAAGAAGGTTGTCTTAATAAAATTTTGAGTTATTAATATTTTTAAAAATTTCAAATTTTATGCTCGTGCATTTACAATGCTGGTCCAGAACCTTTGTCTATGCACCTTGTGACCTATTGTAACTTATAAAATTTGTCATTATCATACTAATTTAGGTCATATAAAGTTGTGTTATATACGGCTACTATTTTCTGAAATTTATTTTAATTTCACCAATAATATTCATCAATCATAGGCTATTTTGACTTGTTAGTAAAGTTGACTTCAAGAAATCTTGCCAGAGCCATAATACAATATTATACAACCAGACCAAGATAAAGCCCTATTCAATGTACTACTAGGTCTCCAAGGTATTACATAGTGCTCCTAAAGGTTGAAATATAAATTATTGTAATATCGTTTAAATTTATGAAGTACTGTAATCTTATAATAATAGTATTATAAGTATAAAATGAAACCTATAGATATAAAAATGTTATGAACCTTTCGAAGCATTAATAATATATAAAAAAAGGTTTATGTAAAAGCACGCAGACTCTAGCCAAATTTTGTGTTCGCTACATATTTTAATTTTGCTACCTTTTATATATCTATTACATATTTGAATGCCGTCAAAGGAAAACCTGACATCGGACTTTCAATTAGATTTTGTGTACAGTTAGCTATCTATAGAAAATCTACCATCATGATAGATTATCCATAGATGGCTAAATGTACACAAAATATAATTGAAAGTCCGATGTCAGCACAAAGAACTCTTAACTTGGTTATACAGTCAGACCTCGTTATAGTCACCCTTGTTATAGTCACAACCTCATTATAATCACTTTTTTTTTTACAAACCTAATTTGAATTATATTAGTCTCGATATAGTCACAAATCCACTATAGTCACTATCACATCAATTTTAATAACCAACCTTATTAAATTACCTCAATATAGTCACAAAAAATTATAGCTTCAAGAGTTCCAATCCGTTAACCGTTATCCGAATATCCGCTATCCGTATCCGATCCAAAATTTATCCGGATATCCATTTACTATTGATATCAAAGAAAGAAATTCATCTGATTGGATAATTTTTGTAAATTTACCCGTGATAATTAACCAATCAAATTATATAATTTTTAAAAATCCGTTGCTTTAATACTATATTCTAGAAACGAAAGACAGCTCCATTTAAAAAAACTTACAAAATAATAAATATACACAAAATATTTTATCACATATTTAGAGAATATAAAGATTTGTATAAAGTTGAAATATGATATTTATTATTAATAAACTCGAGCTTCTTGGAAAATTTACACAATACCAGAATATTAACTAAATTTACAGTTAAACAAACCCAATATATTGCAAAAATCAACTATATCTTAATATTAAACCCGGATCTCTTGTTATTAAAAGCTTGCACTTATTTAAACTAAATGATTAGTTAATCTCTCAAATATTATTTTTGAGTAATGTTTTGAAGCTCTTTGAGTATAAGCTGCTTGCATTATCTCAACATTCTATGTAAACCAAAATTTACTTCTTTTTTCTAATTAACTTTCTATTCCTATTTCATCACCATGAATTTCTACTAGCTGTTTACATGCTAATAATCCAAATCCTGTACCATCTTGTTGCAAAATCTTTGATTCATCAACTTTTAAATTGCTTTTCCAAATATTATTTATAAATTAGTAATAAAAGTTTATTTAAATCTAACATAATAAACGGTTTAAGCAAAAAATATTCACAATTACCTTACTCTACAGTATAACTTTGCACGGTTCATTAGGCGACAGTATTTTTGTCTTCTAAGCAAAGTTTACAAGGAGTAAGATTCTTTTGTATAGTGATTATTAGTGTTCATTCAAAGCTGGAAATGGTTTTTGTGGTGATTTTTTATTAGTGAAATGTTCAGTTATAAAAAAGTACTGTATAATATATAAATAAGTTACCAGGGCAATTGATTTATATCAGCCAATCAGACAAACTTCTTCCTTTGACTATTGATATCTGAATAATTATCCGAATATCCGTCGGATTATCCAGAAATTTGGCCATTGGATAACTCAGATACGAATAAATGGATGACGAATTTATCCGGATTGGATCTCTA